AAAGACTTGAGACTTACTTGAGACTTGCAAAACAATGACTTGGTCCCACCTCTGCAAACACATCAGGTCAAACTACGAGCTATGACTGTACATTCAGTGCAATATGCAGTAAATTGCCTATTGCAAACCACCACAAATACAAATATAAGAACTCCTAATTTGACACTCGACATGGATATATATTTTATTTTATGCTCAATTCCAGAAGAAAATAACAATAATCCCCTCTGTTTTGATTAATAGTTATTTTTTTCATTTAGGTCAACTTCTTTACAACCTGGCACTGAAAAAAACAGCTGTCCAATCTTCAACCAGTGGCCCCTTGGGTACTGCTGGTAGAGCAGTTGATGGAAACAGAGATGCAAGCTATCAAAGAGGGTCTTGCACACTTACCAGTGGACAATCTAATCCCTGGTGGAGAGTAGACCTGGTAAATGTGTATACAATTGGAGCTGTAATGATAATCAATAGAGATGAAATGGAAAACAGGCTGGATGGTGCTGAAATCTGGATTGGAAATTCAACATCAATCAGTGGCCCTGAAAGCATCAGGTGAAAGAGCTATAACCATAATCAGTAATCATCATATCAGTAGGGCTTTTTTTATTCATTCTTATACTTTTTCTATTTGACTGTTTCGTACACAGGTGTGCTGTCATCTCTCACATTCCCAAGGGACAAGCGTTTTACTTTCCATGTAACTCTGTGAAGGGACGCTACGTCACTGTGTTCCTACCAGGAAGTGCAAAGGTCCTAAATCTCTGCGAGGTTGAAGTGTACTACGGTAAACACCTTTAATTCTGATTAGTGGTGCAACGGATCACGGTTGATCCGAAATCCGAACTGATCCCACTCCACGGTTTGGTACGCACGTGATCCGAAGATTCGAAAAAGAAAAAAAATATGTGTATGGTGCGCGTGGTGGGTCTGTCAAGCGGTAGTTATGGTCAGCGCTAGCGGTCCAAGTAGCGGAGTAGAGGAGTTTGCGGTATTTAAGCAGCCTTTTGCTGCCCAATCCGACCGCGCTACAGCTATTACAAAAGCTAATGGGGTGTTTAGCTGCAGACGGGAGGCCGTATTTCGTTGTGCAAAACAAGGGGTTTAAACTGTGATGAACGTGCTTGAGCCACGCTATATAGCGTCCACTTCAGTGTGACAAGATTGTTCCAAGCATGAATGAGCAGGAGAAGTTTAAAGTTATGGCTGAACTGTCCCAGGCATCTTCTGTTGCTCTAACTAAAAATGGGTGGACCTCCAGAGCAACTGAAAGCCACGTGACCGCTCGTTATATCACAGTGGAGTGGTAGATACAAAGCCCTGTACTGCCCTATAGATTACATTAGATTAGATGAAACTTTATTTATCCCTCGGGTGGGTTCCTCTGGGAAATTCAGTTTCCAGTTGCACAGCACTGACAGAAGTTGCAGAATGTGAGCAGTAATATACTGTGGCGAGCTCAGACAAGGAGGAGACAGAATTCCATTCGGTCTTGCTCCCC